CCTCAGGTGTTCTGGTCCACCTGTCCTCAGGTGTTCTGGTCCACCTGCCCTCAGGTGTTCTGGTCCACCTGTCCTCAGGTGTTCTGGTCCTCTCCTCCTGGTCAATCTGCTCCTGTCTCAGGTCAGAAGGTTCCTCCTCCAGATGTTCAGCAGGATTTGGATCAGGGCTCAGAGGGACTCTTCAGAACAGTCCAGTGTTTGGTTCTGACTCCAGAATGCCTTGATGGTCTTGAGATTTTTCTGTACCCTGCATGGATTCAGGACCTCCTGACCCAGATGCAGCAGAGCAGAACAGAACCGAGCCTCCTCCAGGCTCTGTGGGTCCAGGGTTCTGTGGTTTGTCTCAGTTTTGGGTCTGAACATCAAACTGATGGGACTGGAGCTCCTGTTTTGTCCCATCTGTCCAAAAGACGTCCTCCAGAAGCTTCTCACTGTGTAGTTAGATACATGTCCAGTCTGTCTTTTTAGGACTTGGTGTCCTCGGTTGTCGTCCATCATGTCCACTTTGTCTCAAAGAGACCGATGGTGAGATCTGACTCTGATGACCTTTGACCTTGGACTTCACCTCTAACCTCTTTGAAGATGTTCTGGACTCTCTGTGTTTTTTATTTAACAAACGTTGACTCTAAAGTCTCCTTGTCTTCTTGTCTCCACAGGAAGTCCAAGTCCTCCGACCAATCAGAAGCCTCGATCAGGAATCCTCCTAAAGACAATAAAAAACATCTGCAGCCTGTTTGTGGAACTATGTGCCTTCAACCAAAACCCTCAGAGGAGGAGGAGGAGGAGGAGGAGGAGGAGGAGGAGGTTCAGCTCCTCCTGTCGGCTCTCTGCAGGGCATTCAGACTCTTTACTGTCCTCCTGTCCGTCCTTCAGGTGGTTTCGTCCCATCAGAGGACAGTCCTGGCTGTGATCTGGAAGAACTCTGGGCTTGATTTAGTTTTTCTACCGATGTTGTCCTCGTTTCTATTTTTCTAAGACAGGTCAGGACACACCTGGACACACCTGGACACGTTTTAGATGTAAACCTTCCCTTCCTTCCTGCTTGGACCAGGACCAAAGCCATAACTGACTTCTTGAACACAACACGATGCATTCAGGGTCCCACCGCCTCCTCGGCTCGGGTTTTTAGAAGAGATTTTGTGTATTTTGAACCATTTCATGAAGTATTTCCTGTTTTTCTACCCGTGTGGTCGTGTTTGTACTTCCTGCTGAGCGTTTGGAGGCGCGGGACAGAACACCGTCGAACCTCAAACATCTAAAAAACTAAATTCAGATGATTAGTCGTTCTTTCCAGCTGGTTGTTGGAGGAACAATCAGCAGAAAACCGTCTCGATTTGTTGCGTTACTTTTTCTAAAAGATCACGTTTCCTGAATTCTCGTCTTTTCTCACGTTTTGACTCGAAAAATAAAAGTTGGATTCATTTTGTGCAAATTGAACTTCAAAATAAAAGCATCAGGACCGGTGCTGACGTTTCTCTGCTCAGACTGAAACTTTTATTGTTCCTTGCAGTGATTTTCTACTTCCTGCATGTTTTTTATTCTAATATAAAAAGAAAGATTTTATTTTATTTAGAGCTTCTCAAACTTCTGGTTGACTGAATCAACAGAAATCCAGATTCAACAAACTGATCGGTTCCGATCGGTTCTGATCCGAACTCATCACCGTTCTTCAGATGTTTCGCGGTCCAGAACCTGCAGGAGTTTCCGGTCCTGTCCTCCTCGGAGGTCTTCGTCCCACACCTCCTCTGCAGCTTCAGCACCAAAGGTTCGGGCCTTTAGAACCTCAGCTGGGAGGGTACAACCGTCAGGGCCGGATCGAGGGTTTTTGTGGGTCGGGGGGCCGCGTTCCGTCAAAATGGGCACCAGAATATTTACAGCAAAGTGAAAATGTTGAAACGTTCTGCTTTGATGCGTTTCTGTCTCTGTGGAAAAAAATCAAGTTTGACCGTTCGTCCCGTCTTCAACTCGTTTGTAACTTCCACTGCCACCACACAGAACCGACCCAGCTGTGACCCAACAGGAACCAGAACCTTTTACTGGACCCGAGTACTTGCAGACAAACCTGTCCTCCATGTTTTACCGTGCGCGGCTGCTGTGGCTCCGCCTTCATTCTGGTTCTGATGGTTGAGCTGCAGCTGCTGAGCGCCCACAACCCAAACAGAACCAGTTCAAGACTTCACAAGTCAGAAAACGTGTTTTTATCACCCCCTGCTGCCCTTGGGTTCAAACCCTGAGGCCCCCCCAGGTTCTAATGACACCACCCCCCCCCCCCCGGTTCCTGGGTCAAATGACCCGAGTTTAAAATCTCAGGCCTCGGGGTCATTTGACCCAGGAACAGAAGGCTGACCTGAGAAGCTCTGCACCTCCTCGTCTGTGTATGGAGTACGTTTAGTGCCATCAAGTTGAGACTGATGTGCACGTGCATGTTACGCTGAGCGTGCACGCTCAAGCTGGCACATGTACAGCAGGTAGTTCCAACATATAATCAAGTCTTAGCACAGCATTTCTCCTGATCACGTTCTCCAGTTTAAAGCGGAAAACATTTAAAACCAGTCGATCCAGTTCCGGCTGCGCGTCATGAACTCGAGTTAAAAAAGTTAATTTAACAGTTCAAAGTTCAACTCGGCTGAAATCCACAGGACATTCTGGTAAAACTACATTTAGAAATCTAAACCGTAGTTTAGGCCCAGAGTCCACGCTGACCTGTCAATCATGCACGTTCAAACACTGACCTGTCAATCATGCACACTCAAACACTGACCTGTCAATCATGCACCTTCAAACACTGACCTGTCAATCATGCACGTTCAAACACTGACCTGTCAATCATGCACGTTCAAACACTGACCTGTCAATCATGCACCTTCAAACACTGACCTGTCAATCATGCACGTTAAAATTTAAATTATTAATTCAAACTCTTTTTTACTAGTTCAACTAGAAGAGATTAAATTTGATCATTTCTTGAATAACGTGAACTAGTTTTCATTTTCAGTGAACGGAGCACCTGGAGACAGGTGATTTGATTATATGGGACAACTGCCTGCCGTACTCGTCCAGTCTCAGAGCCGAGCTCATTTTTGACATCTGAAGTTTGTCCGTCTCACTTTTAATTAATAAAAATCAGTTGAATATTTATTAGCTAATTAATTTAAATTAGCTTCAGAAATTTACTGTTTCCTGTGTCAAATGTTTCACAATAAAATACTTTTAAAGGCTGAAATTCTGCACTTTTACTGTGAAGTGTGTTCCGTTAATGCTGAAAACAGAATCAAACGTTTCTTTGGGTTTTATTCTTCATCACGGGGATGAGACGTCACAGTCCAGGTTCAGTGACGGAGCGGGTCGGAACTCGTTTGAAGTGTCCGGGTCGTCGCGCTTCAGAACCGGGTCAGCCTTTGATCACAGCGATGGGCCTCAGCTTGATGGCCTTCTTGCTGATTCCAGCGTCGTGACACGTGTTCACCACGTCCGTCACGTTTTTGTACGACTCTGGAGCCTGAGAGGAAACAAACATTTCATCTGGTCACGGTTTCTGGGTGCAGGTGAACTTCAGCGTCACCACACGGCGTGCCTCACCTCCTCCATCACCAGTTTGGGCGAAGCCACTCGGATGGCGATGCCCATGTCGGCCAGCTTGTCCAGAACGTCCTGGAAGTCCAGGTTCCGCCGGGATTTGGCTCTGGAGAGGGCGCGGCCCTGAAACAGACCCCAGGTGGATTATCGATGGAAACATCCAGATTCTGAGATGTTGGAACCGTTCGGTCCGACTCGTACCGCTCCGTGGCACGTGGTGCCGAACGTTTCCGTCATTCCATGTTCGGTTCCCGTCAGAACATAACTGCAGGTTCCCATCGTTCCTCCGATCAGAACCGGCTGACCTGTGAGCTGGAAGGAACAGAACATCTTCAGCAACATTAATCTGAGCCTCAGAGGACCTGCCAATCTATGGGGATTAAATGGACGTTCCTGGCAATCTACGTGGATTAAATGGACGTTCCAGGCAATCTACGTGGATTAAATGAACGTTCCTGGCAATCTACGGGGATTAAATGGACGTTCCAGACAATCTATGGGGATTAAATGAACGTTCCTGGCAATCTACGGGGATTAAATGGACGTTCCTGGCAATCTACGGGGATTAAATGGACGTTCCTGGCAATCTACGGAGATTAAATGAACGTTCCAGGCAATCTACAAGGATTAAATGGACGTTCCAGACAATCTAAGGGAATTAAATGAAAGTTCCTGGCAATCTACGTGGATTAAATGGACAATCCTGGCAATCTATGTGGATTAAATGAACGTTCCAGGCAATCTACAAAGATTAAATTGACGGTCCTGCCAATCTACGTGGATTAAATGGACGTTCCTGGCAATCTACGGGGATTAAATGGACGTTCCAGACAATCTATGTGGATTAAATGAACGTTCCTGGCAATCTACGAAAGATTAAATTGACGTTCCTG